GAGTCTTGTGGTTGTAGGAGTCTTGTGGTTGTAGGAGTCTTGTGGTTAGTTCCGATGTGTTCCTGATGTAAGGTAGCGTGATGAGTGTGTCGGGGCATGTAGTATCTTCCTGGTGGTGTTTGTGTAATAGACATCTTCTGACCCAGTTTTTGGGTATCCTTGGTCTCTGAATACCTGGAAGAGGTATTCTTCTCCTTTTTGGCATAGCTGCGTGCTGTTGTAATGTGTTGTTGCCCTTTTAAATAATGTTCTCACGCAACTTCGTTTGTGTGTGTTAGGATGGTTGCTGTTGAGATTCAGTACTTGGTCAGTGTGTGTGTGGCTTTCCTGTGTACCTTTGTTAGGAATTCTCCATTGGTCCTGCGCTCTATCATGACGTCCAGGAATGGGAGTTGTTTGTTCTTCTCCTCTTCTCTGGTGAATTGGATTCCGGTGAGGGACACACCGGGCCAACACCAAGATCCTGGGACAAGCAAAGCAGAGACGAGCATGGGAATTCCTAGAAGCCTGGTACTCCACGAAGAAAGCCATCAACAAACGCATAGAGCTCAACCCCATATGCACTCCATTGCAAATGCAAACCAGAAGTGAGGTAATCCAGCTCAACAGACTCCAGAGTTTAAATAACAGGCGGGAAAACACAACGGCGCTTCATCGGAGGCTGCACTGATGGCGGTACCCAGCAGGGTAACAAAACGTGTGCAAAATTTGGCATGTCCATAAAGACTCTTACCAGTTTTAGTATATGCACCATTCTATCCAGATGCATCAGGGCTTGGTACAGCAATTGCTCTGCCCAGGACTGTAAGAAACTACAGAGAGTTGTCAACACAGACCAGTCCATCACACAAACCAACCTTCCATCACTGACGCCCTCCATATCTCCTGCTGCCTCAGGAAGGCAGCCAACATCAAAGACCCCTCCCACCCTGGTTATAATCTCTTCCAACCTCCTCCGTCAGGCAGAAGATACAAAAGTTTGAATATACGTACAAATAGATTCAAGAATGGCTTCTTCCCCATTGTTATTAGACTCCTGAATGGACCTTTCAAATTTTAAATTTAATGTCAGTCTTGCTGTTTGTGCGCCTCCTCTGCAGCTGTAACATTGTATTCCTCACTCTGTTCTATTACTGGTACAGTAAGATCTGCCTGTACGGCACGCAACACGAAACTTTTCACTCTACCTAGGTACATGCGGCAACAATAAATCAAATCAAATATCTATGCCCCTCAATTTTATCCAGCTCAATCATGTCCCCTCCTCAGTCTCCTCCGCTCCAAGGAGAATAACCCCAGTCTGTCCAATCTCTCTTCATAACTTCATAACAGCACATCCCTCCTATAATATGAATTCCAAAGCTACATACAATACTCTAGTTGTAGCCTAATCAACTTTTTTTTTAAATACAGTTCTAGCATATCGTCCCTATTATTAAACTCTACACTTTGTCTAATGAAGGCAAGTATAGTCTAAGCCTACTTAGCCAGTTTATCTCCCTGTCCTGCTACCTTATGGGACTGGTGGATGTGTACACAAAGATCAATAAATGCTTCCCTAGCTGTGAAGGCTCTCGTTGGTGAGGTGAGGTATTGACTGTTTAACAACAGTCAGATGCTGGAACAGTTTCACACTACATGTGAGGATGCAGAACTATTATTTCTAGATGTTCTTCTCTGCACTGATTTTTAACATTCTCACCCAAAAGAGAGCTGGATTTAGATTTGAAAGCGATGAATTTAGAAGGCTACCGGAGATAGGGCTGGAGAGTGGGACTAGCTGAGTAGCTCTTTCAGGAGATGGTACAGACGCAATGACCTCCTTCTGCACTGTACGGCTCATTCTTCTCTCCATCTCCTCCAACCCACTACTAATATCTCTGCACTCCTGACCTCCTGCATAGGCCCAGTTATAATCACCGCCATTAACGGCCATGTCTTTGGCTGACTGGGGGGGGACACTCTGGAATTTCCCCCCTCCCCCTCCTCCCCCCCCCTTGCCACCCCCCTCCCCCCCCTCACCCACCCCACCCCACCCCCAACGTCTCTGCCCCCTTCCCTCCTCCTTGAAGATAATCCTCTTTGACCAAGCACCCGTTGTAACTTCTCCATAAGTGACTCAATGTCAAGTTACTCTGGAAACACCTGGGGATGTTTCACCGCGTTCGAGGCGCCGTATGAATGCAAGTTGTTGTTGTTGTCTTCCAAGCACGCTCGCAATAAGCGATTCAGTGAGAGACTGTCCCTAATCTGACTAATCATAGAGATGTACAGCACGGAAACAGACCCTTCGGTCAAACACGTCCCTGCCGACCAGATATCCTAAATTAATCTAGTCCCATTTGCCAGCATTTGGCCCATATCCCTCTAAATCTTTCCTATTCATGTACCCATCCAAATCCCTTTTAAAGTGTTGCCCACCTCCTCCTCTGGCAGCTCATTCCAAAAGTTGCCCCTCTGATCCCTTTTAAATCTTTCCTCTCTCACCTTAAACCTATGCCCTCTAGTTTTGGACTCTCCTACCCTGAGGAGAAGACCTTAACTATTCACCCTATCCATGATTTTATAAACCTCTATAATGTCACCCCTCAGCCTCCAACACTCCAGGGAAAATAGCCCCAGCCTATTCAGCCTCTCCCTGTAGCTCAAACCCTCTAAACCTGGCAATATCCTTGTAAATCTTTTCTGAACCCTTCCAAGTTTATCAACATCTTTCATATAACAGGTATCTTTGTAATGGGCCTTCAAAAAGAGTCAAAAGTAAGGATTTTGCAGCAGAACAATGGATTCGCACTCCTGGGATCTTGCTGTGTGCAAATTGGCCATTCTGTTTCCTACTTTACAGCAGTGACTGCAGGCCATTGGCCTTTCAGGGTTACAAAAGGGTGCTACACAGAAGCAATTTCTTTTTAAAGCTTTCAAATGGATAATGTAGGGTGCGCAAAAAGGGGTTGAGTAAAGGCAGAACTACATCAGATTCCAGGAGTTGGATGGTTAAAGCCTAATAAACATGTAAGGGACCATCGTAAATGTCCAATTCAAACAAAAAAACAACACTGCATCCCACTGGGTATAATGTTTGTAATTAACTAAATTTAAACGTTACCTCATCTGGCTCCCAGGCCTAGGCCTGTGCAATGGTTGCTAAGCAACCAAATACAAAATTAGCCTTAGAGACAGAAAGCTAGCGACAATCCTCGGCCCCAGACTTAGACAGGGCTGGGGGGAGCAAACAAGATTAGAAACACGGACAGCATAAATTCAACGCTTACATTTATAAAAGCTGAAAGAACTGCGGTGGCTGTAAATCAGAAACGAAAACAGAAGTTGCTGGAAAAGCTCAGCAGGTCTCAGCACAACTGAGGAAGGAAGGGTCACCAGGCTGGAAGCATTAACTCTGATTTCTCTTCACTGAAGCTGCTGTACCTGCTGAGCTTTTCCAGCAACTTCGGTTTTTTGCTTACAGTTATAAATCCTGGTTTGAATACCAATTCAAATTGACTATTACGAGAGGGCGTAATTTTAAGGTGATTGGAGGAAGGTATAGGGGAGATGTCAGAGGTAGGTTCTTCACACAGAGAGTGGTGGGCAGTGGTAGTGGAGTCAGTTACCTTAGAGACTTTTAAGCGACTCTTGGATAGGCACATGGAGGATGGTAAAATGTAGGGTATGCAGGGTAGATTGATCTGAGTAGGATAATAGGCTGGCACAACATCGTGGGCTGAAGGGCCTGTACTGTGCTGTACTGTTCTATAAATGTCACAACGAGGAAACACAAGAGGCAATTTAACCCTTTAAACATAATCACACACTGGGGGAGAAAGAGGATGGTGTAGTGGTAATTTCACTGGATTGGGAATCCAGAGACCCAAGGTAATGTTGTGGGGAGATGGGTCCTAATCTTAGTAAGACTCAAGGAACCAAGGTAGGGACACCATAGCAAACGGGAACAGAAGGAGACTATTCAAACCCTCAAGCCTGCTCTGGCATTCAATAGGATCATGGCTGATCCAACATTCCTCACGCCCATTTGCCTTTTCTTTCCTTTCCCCGTAACCTTAGATTCTTTTTCGGATGGAGAATCAGTCTCAGCCTTAAATATACACAAGGACTCTGCTCCCACAGCTCTCTGTAGCAAGGAGTTCCAAAGACCCACAACTTTAAGAGAAGAAATTCCTCCTTACCGCAGCCTTAAATTGGCACCCCTTTACTCCAAGACAGTACCCTCTGGTCCCAGACTCTCCCATCAGGGGAAACATCCTCTCAGCATTGACCCTGTCCATTCCCTTAAAGAATCCGGTACGTTCCAATG